TTTTTTTTCTAAATAGTTAGACAATTTGAGCAAACATGGACAAGTAAATAAATAATGTTTGGAGAAAAAGAGAACAAATCACAGTTTTTCGACGTGACACTAAAGACAAGACATACGAATATTGTTTCTTCTTATGTTATTGTGTCGCTCTTATTTATTTCGTTTTTGAGGACCCCAAATAACTGGTATTGTATTCACTGTTGTTTGTGGCACTTGTGATGAACTATCATCTGTTGATAATGTGAGACCATTACTGAACAATGGATATTCGCCTGAAAAAATAAAACAAAAAAACCGAAAATTTGATTTCTTATTTACAGAAATTTTTTTATAAATTATTTCAAGCTCAAAATACTATAAAATAACGAATCTTATTAAGATTTTTTTTTGTGTTGATTTTCCGACAAACTATATTTTGTTTGTTTTATGAAAAATTTTGTAAATCCTTTTTTCTTTGAAGAAAGTATAAATGCGCATATGATTCTCTTCGAAAGGTTAATATTAATTATGGATAGTGTCAAATTAAATTTTTGTTCCATTTCAACAGTTACAATAATCGTCAAAAGTCTCACTACCACATAAAAAATATCTAAATTCGACTCTTTTTGCCTGATATTGTTATTGGAAACATAGTAGGGTAAACTCTAATTGCTAGTACAACTACGGAGTTGATCGATCTCCGTATATTAGATATAGAATAAAAGCACTATTTTTTTCTGTGAACCTCAAAAAAAAAGCGTTTTAAACATTTTTATAGTTCACTACTATTTCAAAGCATCCTTTTATTGGTAAATAAAGTCGTACATATCTTTACTATGTCACATATAGGAAACATCTATCTGTTGTTATTCTGAAATGTAGTGACATATTCAATATCTGGAACGGTCTTCACATAGATTTCAACTTCATCAATGGCTATAATTATGAAATTCTCAAGAAATACTTGATTAAAGTAAACAACTCATTATAGAAAATTTTTTGAGGCAAATGGAATGATGTTTATTATCACTGAAATTTTTTTTTTTTTTTGTCAATCTTACCCAAATCATCTCGATTAGGTGCCATAGTAGTTGATGTTTTCATTGAATTTTCATGTTCATTACGTTGTTGTGAATAATTATTTTGTTCATATTCATTATCATATTCTTTTCCATTAGTCCATGGTGCATTTTTAACTTGAAATGATGCTTGTCGTTGTTGTTTTTTATTTTTATTTTCATTGATTACTTTAACATTATTAGTTGTTGATCGATCTTGTTGAATATTTGATGATTGTTGACCTAATATTGAATCATTTTGATTTTGTACATTTGTTGTTGGTCTATATGGAAGATCTTGAAGATAATCTTCTTCTAATAATAATAAATGATCAATACAAGCATCAATTTTTTCTTGATCTAAACCCATAACATGTACTTTATCAGTTTGATTATTAGCTTGAAATCTAATTTCAACATTATATTCTTTCATAATTTGTTGTAATTTTTGTCCACCAGTACCAATTATACGTGCATGTGTACGTGGATCAATTTCAATTTCCATTGTTATTTTAGCTTCAAAATCTTTAATTAATTGTAAAATTTCATTTTGACATGCTAATATTTTATCTTCATAACCAGTTAAAATAATTTCAACATCAGATAATGAATTTGAATTTTGTATTATTTCATTTGATGATAAATTATCATCTTGTTGTTCATTATTATTATCTATTATAGATGATGTTGGTACACTAGTTGATGATTGATTATTACTAACATCAATTTTAACATCATATTTTTGTCGTAAATTATTTATTGTTTTACCACGAAAACCAAATATTAATGAACGATGTTCAGGTTTAATTGTAAAATGTATTTCATGTGAACGTGCTTGTTTATCAGCTTGATATTTTTCATATGATTCTAATAATTCATTTTTAATACCTTCAACTTGTTCACGTTGACCTTTTAATTGTATTGTATTTTGTGATGAATTAACAGGTGGAAATGTAACATGAACATCAGGATATTTTTTAATTAATAATTGTAAATTACTACCATTTTTACCAACTAATATACCATGTGCTTCATATGGTATATCAACTGAACTTTCACTAGGTATCATTTTTTCTAATGCATTCATTGCTTTATCAATATCATCTGAACGACCTATTAAACGGACAATATCTTTTTGTTTATCATCATCATCACTTGTTGTTGTTGTTGTTGTTGTTGTTGTTTCTTGTTCATCTTTTTGATTATTTCCACGTGGTGGAAATTTAATTTGTACATTATATTCTTTTTGTATTGGTTGAATATATGTACCACCTTGTGCAAGTAAATAACGATGATGACGATGTGGTATAATCATTTCTTTTGTTATTGTATTTTCCCATGTATCAATTAATTCTTCTAAACGTTTTCGTACTTGTTCAACTATATCTTTTGGTCCACGTAATAAAACTTGATCTGAATTTGTATTACGTTCAGGTAATTTAATTAACATATCACCATATTGTTGTTGTAAATCATTTAATAATTTACGACGATTTTGAAAAAATCGACTATGCCATTTAGGATCAATTGTTATATGTTGTTCAATGGAATTTTCAATTGATACATTTAATTGATTAACATGTTCCTCAAGAACTTTTCGTGCTTTATCAACATCATTTTTTTTACCATTTAAACGTATATGTGTTGAATCTTTATTATCATCCATTGATGGTACATCAAGTCGAACATCAGGAATTTTTTCACGTAAACGTTGAATATTTGCACCACCTTTACCAATTAACATTGGATATATACGTTTTGGTACTTCAATTTCTATTGAATAAAGATCTTTGACTTTTTGTTGTAAAAATTTTGAACATTTTTCAACATCATCTTTATCACCATGTAATATAACTTTATCACTTTTACCATTAGCTTCAGGAAATGTTATTTGAATATTATTAAATTTTGAACGAACTTCTTCTAAATTTTTACCTTTGGAACCAATTATTTGTGGATAATATTGAGGATCAATACTTAAATCAGTTGTACGTTCATTTGCCTAAAATTTATTCAATAAATAATTGATTTCTATTTAGAAATATAATTAGATTTAATACTTTTTTTTTTTTTGAAAAATATATCCGTCTTTTGATTATGATAATCATCTATTATGGACTTTTCAACAAAAATTTCTATGAAAACATCGTATAGGATAAAATAACATTCGAAACTAAGTTATATTAAATAACTACTATTGCTTAAGTCTTGAACTTTACATATAAGAAGAACATCTCTGTACAATTTATTTGTATTCTCTATATATCTGATGGATCTATAGAAATTAAGAATTTGAGTTGGTCTTGTCTATCAGTTCTGATCATACTAAATATGAACAACATG